GTATAACATTTGCTTCATCATGTTTATAGATGCTAAACTAAAGAAAGACAATTTTGACAATTTAATATGAAAATCTTTATGATAATAACAGTGAGGACTTAAACTTTTCTATCATCAACTTTCTTTATATATGTAACAGGGAAAGGCCCCTGAGATAAGTACTTGTTAGTGGTTTTTTAGGTTAGCATGTTATACGTACGAACAGTGACAGTTTCTGAAACGAACAATTATTAAGAAGCAAGTTGTTGACTTAAGAATATCAATAATCACGTTTAAAATACATGTACATATTTCAGACAGATTTAATATACGTTATTAACTGATCATGACAAGGAGCACAGGGTGGGTGTGACCGGTCGGCATGTCATGCTTACAATATATATATGTAGTTTTTGGAGACGAGGCATTTCAGCAATAAAATATATGGAGATAACGAACAAAATTCAAACCCAAAAGTCCATTTAACATTACAAAATAGTAGCAGAGCAAACACGGACTTCCAAAACATCAGAGATGGCATCAGATGTCGTAGATGAGTGAGCATCCACCGCCTACCACGCACACCCACTGTATGCTCCTTGTCAAAATCGGGAAAATTTGTCAAAAATTCAGTGTGTAAATAATTTCCTAACAATACGTATGAGAAACATCTGTCAGTATTTGACTTAATGGTACACTGTATTTGCTGACAAGGTCATTATTTCGACCGAAAAAAAAACCCCAAACAAAATGATGACAAAAAACGAGACTGCTGATATCTTTAATTGTTTTATCAACTTTTTTGTCAATAACTTACCTCGTTTTAGAAATTCTACCTATGTAGAGCATGCTTTTGCGCATCGAATCAACCGAGAGATATAATCCCCGTATGCAGCTGATAATAGTATTTTATTGCATAAGTAAGGGAAGTTGACGATTGAAAAGTTTAAAGTCATCACGTTTATCATAATGCTTTAATGTCAGATTACAAATGACAGTTTTTTTTTCTGGTAAAATATCCAATTATGACATGAAACAGGTGTGTCAGACTCTGTGGTATTTTTCATTTCAAAGTTTTATTGGGATATATCTTGTCGACATAAGAATGGAAATAACAATAATTTTTAATTCACAATACCTCGTAAGTATATTTAAATGTCGAGTTGAAGGCCAAGCAAAGTTTTTCTTCTCATCACGTGTAATATTTTGGACAAATTCTGCTTCATATGAATACAGAAATAGGTTTGGTAATAACGGTGCCTAATCGATACCCTTGGGAATTCCAATAGATTTCTTGAAGACACCGTCTCCGAAAACCACATAGATAATGTCAAACAGAAACTTTAGCATCTTTTTTATATCAACTTCAGAGTACTTGTGTGTACAATCACATTGTTTTTAACAAAGTACTTTTGCAAATGGGCAATGACAAGGTAAGTAAATTTACGAGTTTCATTTCATTGAAAAAGCAGCTGTCAATGATGTCAAAAATTCTGGACTTTAAGGATACCCTATCCTCAACCACGAATGATAACTCTTAAATTAGTTATTTAATTTAAAAAGTCTCTAAATTAGGCTTGAAATTGAATTTTTGTGCAACAATTTTCATTTTATGCATCTTAATATCATTTAAGATTCTTTGAAGTCTTAGAAACGGTCTTGTAAAAAATTGACATTTGCATCCCCATGGAGTGCAAAAAAAAAAAAAAAATAAATGCAATTTTATAGAAATAGGAATATCACGCATATTTGCGTGATATGCAAATAGATGTGAACTGTGATGTCATTAAACGATAGTACAAACGTTTTACACTATGTATTTTGTAACAATTGAATTCGATAGAAAAACTAAATTACTGAATAAGTATGAAAAGCAATTTTCTCCAAATGCCTGGATAGCAATATTTTTTTATTGTAAAATATAATTGTTAATCCAATTTAATTTAGAAAATGTATTGTAGGTACTTTGATTCGTATTTTCTGAGAATATATTTGAGATTTGATGATTTTTATTATATGATATGATTAACTTTAATGATGAAGTTTGAAGAAATACCATGCGTAAATACAAATTATTTTGAGAATTCAGACATTTTCAATTACCCAACTCTTGATTTTGCAGACCTCAGGATCGGACTACCTTAATTTATCACGGGGTTTCCAATCCAAATCATTCTCGTTGACTACGGAAAGTTGTACGTTTATATGACTTTAATTTGTTGTTTTTTTTTTTTGAGAATTCTACCTTTTATTGACAAAAAAAAAAAAAAAAAAAAAAATAACGATCACTGGATCAGATAAAATGCTTGTGTAGAAGCTGCTGGCCCCCGTTGTTAATTTGAAGTCTATGGGAACCCTTGGTTTCACCAATATGAATAAGTCCACAAAGATTACATTCTATTCCATAGACAACATTAGAAATATATTGGAAGATATATTGTCTAACACATCTATTTCATATTTGGATATTTTACTAAAAAGAGATGTTAGTGGTAATCTAACAATAAAGCTTTATGATAAACGTGATGACATTAACTTTTCAATCATCATCATCTTCCCTTGCAGCAATATATCTTTGTCTGCTGCATAAGGGGTATACATCTCTCTATTAATTCTGGAATGTGACACGTATGAACACTTTCTAAAACAAGGTAAATTATTGACAAACAAGTTTTTGGAACGAGAATATCAGCAGTCTTGTTTATAGTCATCATTACCAGTTCACGGTCTTCAAATCAAAACAATGACCTTGTCAGCAAATGCAATTCATCAATTGCTGACTGATGTTTTCATACTAATTGTAAGGCAGTTATTTACACACTGAATTATTGACGGATTTTTCCGTTATTTCCTGATCATGACAAGGAGCACACGGCGGGCGGGTGTGACCGGTCAGCAGGGGATTTTCACTCATCAATGGCACCTGAACCCAACTCCTCCATAAACTGATATCCACTATGATGTTTTGAAAGTCCGGGTTTGCTCTGTTCTGACATTTTTATTGTTTTATGGACTTTTGAGCTTGAATACTACTCGTGAATAAACAACGTGTAAGTTGTAGACAGAAGTTTCACTTGCTTTGACGAGTGTTGTTGCGCTGAACCAAACGATATTGGAAATTTGCATGCATTTTGTCTTTCAAAGTTTTTTTAATGGCAAAAATACACTTTAATCAGCTCATTTTTCTCAATTTATCTGGTCAAATCATTCTTATGTTGTTAATGCCGAAATGCTGTCTTTATAGATGGATTTATAGGGCAATGGTCTGTATAAAACATATAGATGGTGATGAACGATTTGGCGAAAGCTATTACGTCCGTGCCCTGTAAGTATTCATTTTAGTTTTATTCAGATTTACTGATGGACTGGCTCACTAAGAGCCGTTTCATTAGAATGACAAATTCTTTTCCAATTGAGGAGAAAATCCCGACGATTGTTTATTTCGGGAGGTTGATTTTTGGGAATGGTCATCTACAGAAAAATTCCAAAGAGAAATGGTTAATCGAAATGTGGAAATCACTTACGAGTAAAATGTCTGGCCTCAGAGAAGTCAGCGTCAGAGTAAAAATAACAGAAACAGGGAATAATTCTCTAAACTGTCGAAGCTTTGTAGCACCTTAATGATAAAACGCTGCTTTATTATAGATGTGACATAATGCGTTGCAATTGTATCGCTTAATGTCATAAATTATAGCATAAATAGTTGAAATTCTCATCCGATCATTCTAAATCGCTGCTTAAGGTCAAGATCTAGTAAATGGAAGGTGCCTACAGATTTTTCAAATTTAAGAAATTAATTCCTTTAATGATGCTTTATAACATTAGCTTGATCAAAAAGGTGTTTCGGGGCATAATTTGTAGAAAAACAAGATGAAAAACCATATTTTAAACTGTCATTTTCAATGAAATATTAAGAAAGCCAGAATTGAAAATGGGAGTTTTTTTCCATATCAAACAAAGAAAATGTATCCAGATTGCCTACAGTTTTTCAGAAAACGGTTATTTGTATGTTCATAGACTCTACTTTAAAATAATATTAAATTTAAGATAGGTATCGGGACTACTTTTCATGTGATTTCAAATTGAATTCTATGAAAATATTTCATTTTCTACATAATACTATTAGAGCCGTAAAGTACGGGAAACAGAAAGTTGAAAGTGATTATGACGTCATAATGGATTTAGCACTGAAAAGTTATTCTAAAGTCATTTACTAGATCTTGACCTTAATAAAAGAATTTTGTTATACCCTTATAAATATCATTCTATATATTTATTACTTATAAAAAGTCTAACAAAAGAGCTGTTTATTTCATCGGTCTAACAATTAATGACCGGTCTTACATAAGAATTGTTAGACGCAACGTCACTCGTCTGTTACGTCCTTGTTCAATATCAAATAGCCGAAGTTAAGAGACAAGATGTTGCTTACAGCAAGGTAATGAAGAGGGGAAGGTAGTAGATTGTGATGAATAATTTTTGTGATACAATGATATATAAGTTATGTGATTAATTTAGATTTAATATAGATAAAATCAGGTCCGCGATCCCAGTTAGAAAGTCACAGAGCATCAAAAAGAAAACTTGTGAAAGACATAATGAAAGGTCTAGTGTACTTTAAATACATATTCGCTGCGCTGAAATTTGTCACGTGATACTCTACATTACAATCGTTGCTTGAATTGCGCAATAGTGATGTTTATAGCGGTAACTATTAAATAAATAGATACAGAACATATCTATCAAGAATAAAATATAATTATAAAAAATAAGAATAAATCACAAGTTTCACATCGTTACAACACAGTGTCAGTATAGGACAATTTTGAAAAGCATTTTTTGTGACCCAGTGGTTCTCTGGAGAAGAGAGTTTCCTGCGATTGCTTTCGATTTGATAGAAGTTTGTAATGTTTGATTGGTTGATCCGGGGAGTGGGAATTGTCAGCATATTTACGTAGACGTTTACTCTCAAAATCACGATAAGCTGAAATCCGTCGGACAGAGGAAACTCCTGTAGAATAGGAATATTCCGAATTACTCCGGCGTAGCACAGTACCATATTTCGTGTGTTTGCAAAACATTCGCAAAAATACTCTTCTAAATTTCGAACTCATTACCGAATATAGAACAAAATTGACAGCAGCATTCACTGATATTAAAGTATTAGTTACATTTCCCGCGATGATCCGATAATGATTTCCAGATCTGGTAAGTTCAACCCCAGCTAGTTCAAGATATGTCATAAAACTAATCATGGCTGCTGTTGGAAGCTGACAAATAATAAACACAAAAGCAACGCTGATCAACATGCACGTGACTTTAGTTTGTTCACCTGACTGTTTTTCACCTGGACGCTTTACGGCAACGTACGTCATTCTTCTCCGTATTCGGTTTGCTTTGCACACTGACCGAATCAAAATTATGTTGAAACTCAGTAATGCTGCCAGTGGAGCAAAAGTGAACATGAAGACGATAAACCAGCTGTAGAATACGGCATAACCCTTACTACTCCCTACCTCGGTGGTTCGAATCCCGAAGGAGGTCATGTTAATGTTATTTTGTTCTTCAACATATTCGTATACTTCCCATTCAAAGAATTCTGGTGACGTTGCCAAAAATACAAATAAAACAACAAAGAGTGTGATCAGTCTGGCTCTGCTAGGGGTGCAGATGGCGCGCCCCTTGATCGGATGGCATACGACCACGTACCGTTCAACTGTAAACGTTACTGTCAAGCACACAGATATGTTTGACCATATATCCACAAATACTCGGGAGTATAAATAAAAGTATTTGTATATCCTTTGCTCATTTATTTCCTCATAGTGTTTTAAACTTAATGCCATGCTTGTAAGCAAATATAACACATCAAATATAGCCAGTGCTGTAAGGTAGCAATTTGTTGATGTCTTCATACTTTTGTGAGTCAAAACGGCAATACTGATAACATTTCCGGTCACGCCTGCGCAGGTGATGATAGGAACAAGACATTTTTGAACCACTAAGCGAGTTAAACGCAGTTGCTCTTCGCTCAACAATTCGACAGGAGTGCTTAAAATGCTCTCTGACTGGTTCCTGGAGACAAGACTCGAGTTAGATATGTTTGAAAAATAGAAGTCCTCCATTAACAACGATGTATTCGGCGATGAAATCAATGCAGTGGAATTCATACCTGAAACAAAGAAATGATATTGTATGTACTGTAATGTAACTATAAATACTATCAAAGTTCTTTGGTCATGAGGAAAAGGCAGTTGCGATATTTTTCTGAGTGAGCACATTCAAATTTCAGCTCACTAAGACAAAACGAAAAAGTTTCTGAGCAAGATTCTCAAAAAATACAGTTTAGAGTATAAATCAAAGTAAAACAACAAAGAGTGTGATCAGAGAGCCTGGCTCTTACAGGGGTGAATTGATTTCTTACATGAATCACGTTTATATTCTGATGAAAAAATTATTTTAAATACTATCAATATAAATGATAAAACACTGTATACAGTGAGTTTTTCAAGTGTTTTAAACCAATTCGATTTTGTCAGAATCAGAATATAAGTGCTGTACCGCAATTTGCTGAATGTAAACAAACAGGCCAGTTTGATAACCTCTCCTGCTTTACCTCGTATGTGATAGAGAACAAGACATTTTTGAACCATTATCAAAAATCCTTACGCTAATGAACTATGTTCTTAGACTTATGAAGTTTTCAAAGTCATTACTACAAGTGTTTATTTTATATAGATAAAACTTCGTTTTATTTTTGTTGCTTTATTTAGCGTTTGTATTATCTCAAAAGCTATAAATAGTATATATTTTTGCACGTAACTTTAAAATGGCGACTATTGGGTTAACATTTCCTGCCTTGAACAAAACAAAAAAGTTTCTGAGCAATTGCTCTAAAAATAAGCCCGGCTAAAAATGTTAAGCTTTAAATTTATTGTTTCTTTTTATTAAAAAAAATCATTTAACAAAATTAGCACGTGACTATTCTGAAACTGAATCAAGTCTTAAATCAGCATTTTCAAGAATTCACTGCAATCGTATATATATAGATGTCGTTCGAGTGTACTTTTATTAGTCAAATTAAACGGCTTTTATAATACACAAACTACAGAAACGCTCTACCGGTATTATTATCCTCATGTTTATGATAATGAAATAATTACTGAATTGAAGTGGCTTTTAATTTAAGATGAAAAGGCAAAAATGTCCCAATACAATAGAAATGCCGACTTTAGTTTTCATGCATTAGAGATTCGAAAGAAAGTGCTTAAGGCTGAATGATATATTGGCATATTTGAAGAAACTGTGTCGTTTCATAACTATCCTTTACATGCTAATACCTAATACAACTAAAGCTCTGATTGCATCGATATTCAAAGGTTAATTGAGGTGTAACCCGACAGGCACCTCATTAGTAGCTGTAGAAAGGCCTATTATAGGGACTTTACAGCGTTATGAACTGCAATTAAATATATACATGTATCACTGTACTGTCTTCATTTTATGAGTAGACTATAGCATATGATAAATATTCTTTCTTTGTAAACTTAATGAGAGCTAGCTGTAAAAAGCGTGTGTATTGGGCGTTAACGTAAATCAAAACGACAAGTCATTTTGTTAAACCAATAGAAAACATCTGGCCCTTGTCCGATATCCTTAGAATTAGCAAATTAATCCATCAATCAGGCCCAACAATGACCAAGAAACAATCGATTCCGGCTTCCTACAGTATCACCGTAGAATACAATTAAGCGCTTCACCTACTACAAATCCTCTCAACTGCCAAATTAGTTCAAATTTGCTGAGTTGTAAAATTTATCTGATGAGAGAAAGAGAGAGAGGAATAGAGATTGCATAGTTGTACAAGTAAAGGGATTTCTCTTAAGAGACGGTAATGATAAGTATTCCAATACATTGTTATATATTTTCATATATTTATTTTAGTAACATACTTACATAGTGTATCCAAATACGAAAGAATACAGCTCTCCTATTTTCAGGATACGACATAAAACATCTTTTTCATTTTTAAGCTCATATCTAGAGCTCATTTGCACAGTGACGAAGAAATGAAAAGGACTTAGTTCTTTTGCAAGTTTTTTCGCTGGGTGAATACTTTTTTGGTAATAGTCGAAATAACTCTTCTTGCCAGACCGTCTAAAATAGACCCAGTTGGGAGAAGGGACACGTTCACAAATTTATAACATTCAGGGTAATTCATTATTCGTAAAATTGTAAAGTATCCGTAGAGAAAATTACGATTAGCAACTAAAATAGAATATTCCTTGTTGATGATAAAAGAGAACCTATTTCAAAGTTTGCATTTAGAAAATGAGTAATGCAATGTCTTGATGACAATATAAAAAAAAAAAACACCAAAGTTTTAAATTTAATAACTTCTTAAAGTCAGATTGGATACAGTTGTAACTTGAAACAAATCAGTACATTTTTTTAATTCTACGGAAATGTAATCTTTACATTAAGCATGCAATGTGTAAAAAGTGTAACAGCTATTTACAGAAAACATCTTAATATGATATTCAATACATTCTGAACAAGCTAATTCAGAGAATTCGTGTCCCCCGCTTAGGGAAAAAGTCGGATCCCCCTGACTGAATTTGTAGAGTTATTAAATGTATACATGTATACTGAGGCAAATAAATACATGTATGTCAATATGCATATACAGATTTGATTGCTTATTCTTTATTATGTGTATAGAAGATTCTTTTTATATGGAATATTTATCACACTGTAATGATGATTTTATAACCTCATAAATTTTTCATTTCACATGCTGAATACTATCATTTAGTAAAAAAAAAAAGTACATGTATTTAAAAAAAAAAAAGAAAAGAAAAAAGAAAGGATCGACCGGGATTCGATCCCGGGACCTCTCGCATATGAAGTGAGAGACATAACCACTCGACCACAGAATCGCTTTACACAGCGTGAAGTATATGCAGAACTGAAGTCACATACATGTATATATTCATGTTCGGTATTCTCAAAATTTTACACAATCCATGGTGTTTGATTTATTTAGCCTTTATTAAACAGTTCTAATAGATGTAACAAGAACATAAAGTCCGCCGAGAACCTGTTTCATACGCAATAACTCGCCTCATGCCCCTGCGCTAAAAATAGCGACATGTAATACTATAAATACTAATAAAACAAACGGGGCGGGGCACTTTGAGAGGGGCGAGAGAGGTCCTAGGGAGTTTTGGTATAAAATTACATTGCATAAGCTCAAAATCTTCCTGAAATATCGCCCGGAAATGATAGTGTTACACACAGACAGAATGTATAAATTTTCGACCTTGAACTTTGACCTTTTGACCTCAAAATCAATAGGGGTCTTCACTAGGCCACAGGGAGTTGTTATGTAAAATTTCATTGCAATAGCTCAAATGGTTCTAGAGATATCGTGTGGAAACGAAAGTGTTTTAACAGACAGAATTTGCTTATTTATGACCTTGACCTTTGACTTTTTGACCTCAAAATCAATAGGGGTCTTCTTTAGTCCATAGGGAGTTGCTATGCTAAATTTCATTGCAAAAGCTCAAAGGGTTCTTGATATATCGTGTGGAAACGAAAGCGTTACAGACAGACAGAAAGACGGACGGACGGACAAACCCAAATTAATATCCCCCACTTTTCAAGCGGGGGACAAAAATATGTTGAAGACAGAAAAATCACAAGCATTATAACGAAAAATCACAAGAAATTGAGTTGTGTCCAAGTGTAGCTAAAGATTTAGGGGGTGCATTATATTACGAAATCATGGAATATACTTATCTATCATATAGTTGATAAATGTCTTAAATAAAAATTCTACTAAAAGTCTAGAGAGTTTGTGCGTTCAGTATCTTGGCGTTTTATTTAATTGTCCCCCGCTTGAAAAGTGGGGGAAATTCCGTCTTTCTGTCTGTCTGTAACTCTCAAGAACCCTTTGAGCTTTTGCAATGAAATTTAGCATAGCAACTCCCTATGGACTAAAGAAGACCCCTATTGATTTTGAGGTCAAAAGGTCAAAGGTCAAGGTCATAAATAAGCAAATTCTGTCTGTTAAAACACTTTCGTTTCCACACGATATCTCTAGAACCATTTGAGCTATTGCAATGAAATTTTATATAACAACTCCCTGTGGCCTAATGAAGACCCCTATTGATTTTGAGGTCAAAAGGTCAAAGTTCAAGGTCGTAAATTTATACATTCCGTCTGTGTGTAACACAAGCGATATTTCAAGAAGATTCTGACTTATGCAATGTAATTTTATACCAAAACTCGACCTCTCTATCAAAACATCTAAAGATTTAGGGGGTGTAATTATTGATAAAATTCATTTTCTGTATCTAGAAATGAAAACAATAAATCAAACACCATGGATTGTGTCGAAATCATGAATATATATGTATGTGACTTCTATCATATATACCGTGTTGATAAATGTCTTAAATAAAAATTCTTTTTTTTTTTTTTAAATACTTTTCTTTTTTTATTAAATGAAGTATTCAGCATGTGAAATGAAAAATTTATGAGTTATAAAATCATCATTACAGTGTGATAAATATTCCATATAAAAAGAATCTTCTATACACATAATACAGAATAAGCAATCAAATCTTTATATGCATATTAACATACATGTATTTTATTTGCTTCAGTATACATGTATACATTTAATAATTCTACAAATTCAGTCAGGGGGATCTGATTATTTGATTGAAATGATAAATACATGTATAAATTGATGGGTGATGTTTTAGCTATATATTAAAGGACTTATTAAATTTATATTATTGAATATTGGTACTTGTTGGTTTTACAAAATGCACTCGCAAGTTTGTGCCAATATTCAACAACATAAGTTAAATAACCCTAACATATAAGCTTGTAACATTTCTGCAGAGAAAGTCTTACCATACCCTTATACTGAATATTTTAAAAGTAAGTCAACATCCGCATAAACATCTACATATTTGTTATATAAGGTTTAGAATGTGGTCATAATACTAATAAAAAGAAACTACAAAAAAAATATAAAGTACAAAAATTCATAATTTACCAGTTTTGTCGCCATTAATATTCTCCTGTATAATCTCTACGTTTTGAGAATCATGCCACTGTTTCAGTTGTATATAAGCTCTAAAAAGGAATCAATAAGCTACTGAAATTCAGTAAACCTGCGATGTCCCTTAATCTTTTGTGCACTGCCCACTCATTTCAAGAAAGAGCAATTTACGCAGGAAAGTCATACACTTCTAATAAGAACATCCTAACTGAATTATTCCGTCGGTGCCACTCATTTATTAGAGTCTCTGCTTAGGAAATTTTCAAACCAATTACCCTTTATTTAGATTAATAGCGTTCTCATCATCTTTTTATGGTATCCATATTGCATTCCACATGGAGGATCATATTGTACGGTAAAAAGGATAACAGAAGTCTGTTTTAATAAGAAAACCGATTTATAGGGTATTAGTTAGTTTGAAATAAGACTTTATTCCTTTTTTTTTTTTAAGAGAAAAAAAAATATTCAGAACTGCTTGCTACTGTGCTACATGCTATATCATTTGAACATCTCATTTAATATATCAGATTTGTAATATACTTGTGAGGAAAAATCAAGAACTTCGTCTAAAATTAAGCTCTTTTTAAAATAATCATGCATAAATTTCATTTTTACATTTCCCATGATTGATATTTTTATATCCAAATACATTTATAAAGTTAAAAACTGCTCTTGGTAAAACACTTCAACATAGATCAGAGATTAATATTATGAATAAGTGTATAATACAGCATGGTCTTGTATTTGTGAACCCTAGTGAAATAAAGAAAAAAACAATTTCACAGTCAAAATCCTTTTAACCATTAAATCAGAAAAAAAATACACCGATGAAAACCCAGATATACATTTTCACGGAAACTGGAACCTCGAGTGAATTTCTGCAATATAATCGATCTTCTATTCTTGAGAACAACTTTTTTTAATAATAAAAGTTAACACGTTGGTTCCCTGTGTGGGGAAGGCGCAAATAATATTTTCCTGTTATGAGATGAAAAACTGATACCGTTTTGTCCCTTGTACCCTCAATATTGTATGAAGGTGTTGACATGACTTAAGGTCTTGCCCAGCTGTAGCATCAACATAGATCATGCTTTTAACAGCCTAAAAATGTCTAAAATAAGACAAAAATTGCAGAAATTAAATCATCCATCAAGATACTATCTCAAAAAACAACAGACAGATAATTCTGGTGTTGGTTTATTTTGTGCATTTTCTTGTTTTATTATTTTTACATGTGCCTAGATTGACTTTCATGAGAATGTATTTTTGTTAAAAAATCAGTCTTTCATTATTTATATATTTTGTCAAGAAAGTATCAATTCTAGCTTGCTCTAAAATCTAAAAATGGAAATAAAAATCTTTGAAAATTTTCGATTTTGTCTTTAATTATGTTTCTTTTTAAAGTTTACAGACATTTTTAAGTTATGTTTTTAAGTTGAAACAATGAGAACACACAGTAACGCGTACGCCATTGGATACGGTTCGTACGCTCCCATTTCGCAATATTAAGGACCAAACTCATGAATACGTTGTCATTTAATAATTAACGTAATAAGGAAGATGACAAAAGGTTATTAATTTCAAAGCAAGCACTGAGCGTGGGGTTACTTATTGACTGTCAGTGTTCAATGTATTGATCCTGTAAACGAGATATAACATATTCAAAACTAACTTGCAATAAAGCACCCAACGATAGATTGTACTTGCAAACATGGTTATTATAACGACCATTAAATTTTTAAAATGCAGACAAATTTGTTGGAAGTCCTTTAGCATCAAATTATTTGTCAGTGGTCTGCGTCGATTTAAGAAGTAATCGTACTTGAACATGGTCCATGCGGAGGTGATGATTGAATATTAAAACATAGAATGAAAATTCTAAATCCTCAACCTCAACAGCACATCTACAGGACACTCACAATGATGAAATGACTACTGCATAAAATGTAAGGTGAGTTCTGGTAACCAGGTTTTGGTAAAATTAAAAGTGTCATTTGCGACCTTCTTTGGGATGATCCCATAGTGGAAATAAAAATCGTATGTGTGTTTTTAGGTAGGGGTGGAAAAAGTCGTCCTTGTTTTGTCAAGTTTAACATTTTATCTCATAAATCAGTTACGAAAAATAACTCATTTTTTAAAAGTGTTTTAATATTGTTAACTATGTGTAGGTGATGAAAATTAGAAATCTCCCACTATGATAGATTAATTATTTATTTTGTCATTTGCTTTCTAACACACATCGTTTCTTTGTTATGTTCCCGAGAGTTTTGGTATGAAATATTAATGCATCAAATTATGATTATTGTCTATGTTATCCAAAAATAAAAGCTAATATGTCCTGAAGGAACTGAAAGGGAAGCTAAAATTACAAAAAATTATAGAAATTTAAAAGGGCAGGAGCAAAAAATGAAATAGATATCCTACTTTAGAAAATTAAAAATACCAGGAAACAGTCTAGAATAAAAGTATTTCAATCTTACTAAACTCTCTGCATCAACTGGTTCTAGGGAATACAACAATTGCTTTTTTAGATTGAAATAAATTCATGTCCTTCGTCGTGATGAATTCTTAGCATCCTTTGTCTCACTCAATGTCATTACTGTTAAATGGTGGGTTATTGCATGAACAAAATACGTAATATCTTCATTGAAATCACACATCGCGAACTTATTTCTTCTGAACAAGTGCATATTCCATATTAAAAAGAAAAAAAAAACTTAAAAGGAATGTGCTATTTTATGATCTGTATAAAAAAGAGACACATCTATACATTTTTTAAAAGTAAATTATTATTTACTTGAAATAAAAAGTCCAAAAAAAAATAATTATATTAAATCCCTTTAAAAAGGTTTTCTTATTCATAACATATGTGGGTTTTCTTCCAAAGCTTATGAGAGCTGAGATTTATTAATCCAACTTACACCCATTGCTCCCTTTCTAAAGAGGATTTTTTTAAAAATCATTTATTTCGATTTTGAATATTTTTTTGGTTTCGTCTATCAAAAGAGATTTGAATTACAATACCCATGATAGGTTCCTGAACTTCTCAAAACCCTTACAAAGACGCATAGCGGATTCCAGTAAATGTTTTTCATGCATCTTTCTTTCAACATCACTGAAATATTATCAGCAGTGATGGAGAAACTTTAGGAGTTCTGTGCAACAGTGTATTTGAAAAGCAGTGTAAATCAGATTTGGATACTTCAAAACTCCAATGAACAGCAAAATGCACGACTTTTCGACACACCGTATAACCAATTCCCACGATAAATTATAATTCAGCTTTTGACATCATTGACAGCTGCTTTGTCAATAAAAATGGAACTCGTAAATTTTCATGACTTGCCGTAGTAGTTTAGGCAAAAATGCTGATTGTACACACGTACTATGAAGTTGATAGTTAAATATACCCCAGTTTCTGATTGAAAATATCTATGTATAGGTTTTAGGATTGGGCGATAAGCCTTCTAACAATTCTATTGCTGAATTTCCCATGGGTTCATATTTCGCCCTGTTATTAGAATAAATTATTTTGTCATGGGGTGAGGGTGGGCTGTCTCCTAAATAACTTGGCAGATATATAGAATACTATCAAAAGCATAGCTACTATATGTTTGTGCACCTTAGTAACAGTAAACGTTGATGTCCTTTGTTTGATTAACAAGGAATATTTGGTAGTTAATAGTGACCGAAACTGAAAACAAATGCTTCTCTGCCCCCCCCCCCCCCCGTATACACACACACACACTTACATGCACCAGTGAAAATGCTACTTACTTTTGTATTCATATGAGAGAGGATTTATTCAAAATCTTCTTCGTAAAAATCTTGCCATGGACTTCAATTTATCATTTGGGTGGGTCGACGACGTGTTACGTTGTTCCGATTAAATTTTTTTATTTTTATTCCTACGTTGGATCGATATAATATCCCTTTAAACGTTCAATAAAAGAAATACCACAGGGTTTGACACATCTATTTCATAATTGTATATTTTACTAGAAAAAAAAAAACGTTAATGATATTTTAACAACATCTTGATGATATAGAAGAGCTACATGTAATACTATATATAATTTTTCTATCGTCGACGTCCCTTAATCATGTAAATTTTATATTCCCTTATCACCTGTTTCCCAGTTGATTGGGCATGCTCTACGTAAGAACAATTTCTAAAACAAGGCAGTTTTTGAGCAACAAGCTGATGGTATAAGAATTTCAGCAATCTCATACAAGTCAACATTTCGCAAATTCTAATGTCGATACAATTACCTTGTCAGTAACTTTTAATCATTTTATCATTAAGTCGAATGCTGACTGATTTTTTCCACGCAAAGTTTTAAGCAATTCTTCACATACTGAATTATCTACTAGTTTTTCCGTTTGCTTGATGATGATGACAGGAATGTGACCAGTAGATGGGGATGCTTACTCCTCAATAGCTCCCTGTTCTATCTCTGATGTTTCTTGGAAGTCTGTGTTTGCCCTAACTTCCAGTTTGCATTATTTCGATATATTGTAGAGTCTGATTACTATTCACTTTCTTAATATTTTATGAGATAACATGCAAATTTTAAATGATATGACATATAAAAAGTGTTAGAATTAATAGTTCTTTTAAATTAAGTGTGGTAATCATGTTATAATTAACTTTCTTTTTATTTAGTTATTAATTCATGTCAGTATTTTTAGGCTGAAAACATTATAGATATGTTTATTTTGTACAAACATTTTATAAATCAGCTTCCTCTTAAAGTTTCTTTTTTTCATTTACGTGCTGATACGGATATCCTTCGTCAATGTTTGCACGTTTGCAGATTGTCTCTGTCAAAATGTCTTCAGCTTCCAGTGATCATTGTCATATTTCTGCCTATGTGAAGGTGAGAGATAAAACTAGAGCAAAGCTCGTTGCCAAGCAAAGAGTAGGTCTTCCATCCTGTTTGACCGGAAGTAACTTTTATTTAAAAAAAAAAGAGAAATGACGTCTCTAATGACTGAAATCTTCCAAATCTATGTTTAAAATTGCAAAAGTAAGCCATTTTTTGCTACTTCCTGTTGGAGCGGAAGTGACGTCGACGGACGGAAAATTAAGTTTCATGCTTCCAGTGACAAATATTTCCCCAAAACATGTCAAAAACGG